AGTGTTAAATTGTAGCCCTTTTATAATAACATTTTATGATAATTTAATTCCTAAATTCAAATCTCCATTTTTAACCATATCTTTATGATATTTTACTTGATTTATTAGGTACATAATAAAAATTGAATTTTTATTTTGTTTTCCTTTTTTTTTATTTCTTCAGAGATGAAACATAATCCTTGGTAAATGAGTAACTAGGAGAAACAATAAGAATGAACTTTAGTATTAAAGAAGATAATTGTGAAGAAAATAAAATATAAATAAATATCTTAATTTTTTTATTGTATATTTCTTCATTTTATTGTATTATTTATTATATTTAATTTTCATGCTTTTTACAGGACAAACTTTTTAATGTTTATTGTGATTTTCGAACTCTTTATATTATGTATTAGAAATGAACAATTGGAAATATATTCTGTTATGCAAAATTTGTTATATTATGCCTTTTGAGTTTTTGTTTTTTGCTATTTGACTACTTTGGTGCTCTCTTACTCAGGAAAGCTCTATTCAAAACATGGAAGAAGTGCAGAAGCTTCCAGATGAACATTTTTCATTAAGTGAACATGTTTTTCTTTAATGTATATTTGAAAAATGTTATTATTGAACAATTACTTGTATTTAATAATATTTAATTTTTGTATATTTAGTTCATTTTATAATATTTAATTTTTGTTTCAAATTATTTTATTACGAGTTTTTCTTTATTATATCTTTTTTATCAATAAACTAAATAATATAAAAAAAATATCTTACATGCATTTTCGGCGGCTTTTGAAAACCCTGCCATTTTCGGCGGTTTTGGAAAACTCCAGCCATTTCCGACGGTTTTTGGAAAACCCTGTTATTTCTGACGGTTTTAAACAAAACCGCCGGTAATTATTTACCGACGCAGGTTTTCCCAGAGGGTTTTACAACCGCGGAAAATGCCCGATAATACTAAAAATAACCCCGACTAAAATTCTATATTTTTGTAGTGAAGTGTTTTCACTTGTTAATAATGAAAATACATCTCATTCCATATATGTATACTTATATTTTTGTTTCATTAAAAATATAATTTAAAAATTATTCAATTATTTACTTTATTAGAAAAATATTATTTTTATTTTTATTAAAGAGAAAAATCATTTAAGTAGAAAATATATCAAAAATTACTACAAAACGTACATTTATATTATATAGTAGTATAAATTACTATTTTTATAAACATTATTATAATTTCAATATTTATCACACATGGGTACTTGTTAGATTATGAACTAAACAAACAAATAATGGAATAACAATAAAACTCTTATTATACCATTAACAATCTCTAATACCCAATAAAATAATACGTAGAAATGTACCTAAACTCGTTATTGGGAAGAACATATACCAAAAAATATTTGATCTTTTCAATGCTAAAACATCTTATATTAACTTTTTATTTTCTCTTTTAATAGAAATAAAAATAAAAGAAACATAAATAATGTATATGCTTACATATTATAACTATAACTCATTTATGTAATACTTTTTCTTAAGTTTTAATATTTCTAATTTTTTCCCTTATCAAATAAAAAAATTGCTTATGATCTTTATATAATTAATATTTCATGACATATAATTTTTTAATCATAAATTAAATTTATTAAATCATTTTAGTATTTGGTTAATAAAATATAGTGACTCTAACACATTTATCATGTAATATATATATATATATATATATATATATATATATATATATATATTTATATTTAGAATACTTATAAATGGTTAGACTTTATGATTTTAAAATTGTCATTATATGCTTTGAACATAT